GGATCAAAAATCAAAGGACGAACTAAAAGTATAAACATTTTAGGAGAAAACACAGGAGTCTTCCTGATCTTGAATTGGTCAGTCTTAGACACGGTAACAAAAGAAACAAAAAAAATTTTCAAACTTTTGTGCTACAGCAATAACACCCATTGAAGGACAAAGAACCTGCAGATGGAAAGAAGTATTTGGAAATCATTCATCTGATAAAGAACTTCCATCCATAGTGTATACAGAAGTGTTTCAACTGAAAGACAACTCAATTGAAAAGATAGGCACTACACACTGACTGGAATGACTTTAATCAAAAGCTGGACAATAACAAGTGTGACAAGGATGCAGAGAAACTGGAACCCTCACACAGAGATGGTGGGAATGTAAAATGGTACAGTCACTGTGGAAAATAGTTTGGCAATTTCTCAAAGTTAAACAGAGTAACCTAGTACTCTTAGGTATGTACTAAAGAAAACGAAAAGCACATATCCACACAAATATATATAATAGCCAAAAGAGTAAAAATAATTCAGAGTAGAAATAATGTGATGGTATGTGAATATATGCATCCATACAATACAAAATTATTCAGTAATAAAGCAACAAAATACAAAAGCATGATAAGTGAAAGGAGCAGGTCGCGAAAGGCCATATATTGTATGACCAGTCACATTATATGAAATATCCAACACAGAACACTCTATAGACAGAAAATAGAGTAGATTAGCACTGGATGTGGCAAAGACGAGAAACAGGAGGTGACAGTAGAGGGTTTCTATTCATTGTGTGGGAGTTGTTTTCTATAACCCAGAATAAACAAAACAAAACTGAAAACACTTTAGATAGGTTAATTGTATGGTATATGAATTACATCACAATTAGTAGCTGTTAAGTAAATGGGTGTCATTTATATTCTTTGTAATTAGCTTAATATTTTAATTAGCTAGTCAAAAATCTTTGTAGTTAGGTTTAAAAAAAAGTATAAAGAAGCGAATTAAGTTACTCATAAACCTATTACCCAGAGATGACTTTTCTCCTAAGCTTTTCTTCTAGGTCTATCTACATGTCCAAATATAAAAATCTACATCTGTGTGTGTCTAGCTGCAGGCTTGTGAGCCCCATACCATGACTGCTGGATTAGTTAAGACCTGCTGTCCTTCCACACATACCCTGTTACTCAAATGGCCAGCAGCCCAGGTACCTCTAGGCTGTTTCCATCTTTGCTGTCAGCACCACAACTAAAATACAACTGTGCAAATATTTCTCCTTTATATTTTGTTAGATTAAAGCCTCAAGATGTGGAATCATAAAGGAAGGGAAATTTTCTAAAGTTGTTGTCATAACCCTCCTTTGCTACTATATTGTGCCTCTTGGTGCTCCCATGTGCACAGGAGAGGGCCCATCACATGCCTGCCCATAGAGTGAATTACTGTAGAGATCACCTTTTGTTTTTATGTCAGTGAACCTGGCATGTCATCCTGGTGATGGTTACAGAGGCTGGGGATTTAGCTCAGTAGTGCCGCCACCTGCCTTGCAAGCACAAGGACCTGAGTTCAATCCCCGGTATCCAAAAAAGTGATGGTTACAACAGACTGAAAACGCTCATGGCACTGAAGAAGCAAAGGATACAATCTCTCTTTCAGGGTGACTCAGCTGGGGAGTGTTTCATTAAGCATCACCAGAGGCTGCCTGGGGCCACAGGTGTCGTGTCCCAGCATCCCAGCAAAGATGCGCCACTTGGTGACTCCGTACCCAGCTCTATCTCAAAAGTAGATACAGCAGCTCTACATGTGCTCTTTATGGCTAAAGCACAGCCCAGGGGATAGCTGTACTGTGCCCTGCAGAGTGGCAGTAGCTCAGCACCAAGCTCCATGATAAAGTGACAGGCTAGTGCTGCAGTGTCTCTCCCCAGCCTGCCAGGCTGTCCCTGTGTAAGAGTTATGTGGGTCACACTGTGCTTGTTCTCAGTAGGGCCACCGTCCCCGTCCAAAGACTGATGATGGCTCCTGATGTATACCTGAAGTTTGCGAAGCTGCTTTATTACTTCATCCCGAGCTTTGTTCGCAGCTTCTATCTGTGCTTCCAGGTCCTTCAGGTCTATCTCCATCTTCTTCTTCGCAGCCACAGCAAGGGCCCGCTGTTTCCGCTCGTCTTCTAGCTCTGCCTCGAGCTCCCGAACCTAAGGAAACACCGAGTTAAGCTGGTTATAGCCTGTTGTCATGTAAGGTTCTGGTTCCATGGGGGAGTGGAGCCTTTTGTTGCCCTACAGAGCAGATCTCCATTACTCAGTAGTCCTTGTTATTAGCAAAAAGGCTCAGCAGCTGAATCTAGTTCAAAGTTTTTTTTTTGTAACCAGGGATTGAACTCAGGACCTTGCACTTGCCTGGCAGGTGCTGCACTACTAAGCTACATCTCCAGGCCCAAAGGATTTTTTTTTCTGGTACTGGGGAATGAACTCAGGACCTTGCAGTTGTGAAACAGGCAGCAGAGCCACTGAGCTAAATTTCTGGCCCCCAAAGGATTTTTAAACAATACTTGGTAAACACCATTCGCACTGATTGCTAGAAAGGGTCATAAGGCAGATGCTCTGACCTCAAGCTCATAGTCCAGGTGACACAAAGGCTGAAAGAAAACACACAGAGGCCAAGGAGTATATGGTACAAGGCCCAAGGGGAAAAGTGGGCATGAGCATGTCCTGAAGCTGCAAGGGGCCAGGCCTACTATGTGCTGAGCATAGGTTGGCAGTGCTGGGTGTTGGGACTGTAAAGGTGGGCATGGCCTGACTACAGGGGCTTCAGACTCAGGCAGAAACTATATCAGGAAAGAAGGAAGCAGTAAAAGATGCCCGATGGCGAAGGCACAGAATGGGGGCTGACTCAGAGTATCCTTATGGGGTTACAGGTGAACACATGAGGCAGTGTGAGCTGCAGACTGATGCAGACACAGGGGACTCGGGACCCAGTGACACACCCGAGCGGGTGCTCACTCAGGGCCTCCCTTTCTGCAGGCTTCTAGCTGTACAATGGGTATTGGGTGTGGTTTAAGAGAGGTTGCGAAAAAGCGCTCTTTATTTTTTAAATGGAATCCTAATACCTAAATAACCAGTGATGAGTGAACCAAAAGTGAGGACCACAAATGAAGCTGTTGAACTGTAAGTTTGGTCAGCTCATGAGTTCACTGGGGCCATGACATGGGCTTCCCAGCCCTGTATCACGTTCTTTCAGGAAGTGCTGATGAAGAAGGCTGCTGTGTCCTAGGTGTGACCAACTGGCAGCGGAGGGGTGTGCTAGAGGTGCTTTCCAGAAGTGGAAAAGCCTTTGGCATGGGGGCAGCTATGAAATCAGCACCACCCTCCTGGGAAGAGAGGGGCTCTGCGTAATGCTGAGAGGCCTGGGGTAAGGGCACAGCTCAGCTTGTCCTTTCCAAGGGGAAGAGCAAGGCCTTTTGCTCCTGCTTTGGCAGGGAGGAGGAGCAGGGCAGAGGAATTTCCTGACACCAGCTTTGTGCTGCAGAGACCTGAGCTACACCTCCTGGCAGATTAATAAGGAGCTCCTTAGGTATACCCACTTGTGTAATATTTTAATTGCAGCGGTTTTCAGATATGACCACAAATTCTTTGATGCCCTCTTTTCAAGAATTAAGAGGCCAATGTTCTCTTACATGGGGACTGGACTTGGTGATTTGGCTCCATTCATGAACACGATGAAAAGTGTGTGACTTGCGGGATGAGGCCATAGAGGCAGGGCAACTTTGTTCTTGCTCGGCCCCTTGGATCTGTCCTGAAGATTCCTGCACTGTGAGGGTGGGAAGCTTGGCTGGGCTCCTGCAGGCTGTGCAGGCCAGCAGATGCTGCACTGGGTCCAGATCTGTGTTGGGCCAGAGCCACCGGGCTGAGCTTCTCTGAATTTCTGATCAACAGAAACTGGGACACTGGAAGTATTTTAAGCCACTAACTTTGGAGTAATTTGTAATCCAATGATAAATGCCTAAAAGAGTTAATGTCAGCAAAATGAAAATAGTAAATTAAAGCGAAAATAAATATACCCCAAATCCAAGAACTGTTACCATGAACTCCAAGGGACTGTCTAGCCTTAAAAGTTAACTTCTAAATTACAAGTTTAACATACCTGCCATAAACTATACAGATCAAAAGTGCTTAGTAACTTCTTAAAAGAAATAATTTAAATTCTGCTTTCTTTTCTCATGAAGAGCGAGGGAATGGCAGAACCCTGAGGCATGCCACTGGCGGTGTGCAGTGTTCTTTCCTCACCCACACTTCTGAGACACAGAATCTGAACCTAATGCACATTTTCTTGAGATTTCACTGAAGGCTTTCCAGTTGATAAGTGGCGTGGCTTACTGTAAGTAACAGACTATTGTCTGAGAAGCAGAAAATCTAAACCGTTTACCGTGACATTCTCAAATGACTAAATAAGCTAATTTTAATCCAGCTAATGTGGACAGACAGGGTCCTGAGCCAGAGTGGGCTTGGACAGCAGGCACACCCTTATTCTGGAGGCCATGCTTCCTCTGACTCACCTGTTTGATCAGCAGCCGCTTCTTCTCTTCATTCTGCTCATCTCTGGTTTGCAAGTCCCTCTCGAACTGGGCCTTCATGGCCTGCATGTTGACCTCCAGGCGGAGCTTGGCGTCTTCTGTGGCTTGGAGTTCATCTTCTAGCTCCTCTAGTTGGGTCCTCATTTCTTCTACCTGCTGCTCTAGGGCCCGCTTGGATTTCTCAAGTTCATGAACCTGAACCACAAGAAGCATGAAGGAAGGGGTGACCCTTGGCAGAGGCACAAGTTAGGGACAGCAGCCGTCCCACTTAAAGACTTACATGTGGCACGATGGCCACTTTGGTTGCTCCTTAGCCGACCTTCGACACCTAAACACACCCTTCCCTTTCCCTCTAGGGCTACTACTCATTTCCAAGATATAATTTAACACTCCAATATCGACTTCTTTATTCATGTGTGGTCTGTAATCATTATTCTCTGATGACCTTTGAGGTACGAGCTTCGTAAAGCCAAAGGACAATGCAAACACAGCAGCATTAGAGGAACCTGCATACTGGCCAGCCACTTGCCTGCTGTGTGTGACAGGTAGGAGAATTCACTTCTTGCTGCAGAAAAGATCACTCAGAATGGAAAGGCCCACAAATAGACTTGTGAATCTTAAGGTGGGTTGGGCCCAAGAAGCAGGGTTCAGTGGTAAGGAGGCCTGGTTTTTAAAGAGCCGCACTACACACATACACACACCCCTATGTCATCTCACAGGGGTGAACAGAGTTCTAAGCAGTGTCTGGAACTCAGCAGGCACCAAAGACATGTTTGTGGAATGCAGATGAAAAACACTGATTATTCTGAAGAGAACTACTATGGAACTCACTATAGGATTCTCTCTCCACACTGTACTGTGTAATCATGATCATTTCTGTTCTGAGGGGCTTCTTCTTGTCTACAGAACTGGTCCCCTGGGTGCCAGGATGTAGGAAACCCAGCAGGAAGGTTTTCCTGCACTTAGGGTGTGACCCATGAAAAGGAGTCCTTAACTTTATAGAGGGCTTCATGCTTTTCAAAGCAGCTGAAATAGGGCACGTACAATGTCCACGTGACCGATGAAGACACTCAGAAAGTTGAAGAGGCTTCCCACAATCATAATGGAAGCTGGTGGCAGAACCAAGGTTGGACGCTCACTTCTGAATGCCAGGTCCAAGTTTGTTTTGCTGCCCTCAACATGTTATATATTAAGGAAGGGACAGAGGGTTAAGTAAAAAGCACTGAAGCTCTTGTAGAGGATGTGTACAGAAGAAACACGAGCAATGCTACAGAAATTTCCAAAATCTGCACAAACCCGCAAAGCCACAGAAGCCTTTAAGACAAAAGCTGGGGCCTTACTGGGAAGGCCAGGGCAGAGGGGACTGCAGCTCCTACTCACTTGATCTCAGGGTAGGTAGGTTTGGTAACTACTGGAGCCTGCAGAACAATGAAATACTGTTGTTGAAAGGTCCCCTTCCAGGATGGGATTGGGGCAGGAAGGCTAGTGAATCAACTGACCATGTGCTAGAGCCTGGCAGAGGTAACAGAGAACAGACTGCAGGCTACCTGACTGCTGGACCCGATGATGTCAGTGCCCTGTTCACACAGGTTAAGGTGCCCCTGGTCAGACTTGCTGTGGGCCTGTATCCCTGGGTCTTCACTCCCAAGGCCCCACGCCCCAGGGCTGCCTTCCTATGGGGCCCAGAGGTGACTTACATTCTTCCCCACATCGTCTTTGGAGCTCATCAGGTCTTCCATGTCTGCTCGGAGCTGCTTGTTTTGCCTCTCAAACTCCTCCTTGGCCTCCAGGGCTTCCTCGAGGGCCCGGGACAGGGACAGGGCTTTAGTTTCTTTCTCTCTGGCCTCTGCTTCTGCCCGGTCCCGCTCTTCTGCATAGCGAGCAGAGATGTTCTTCTCTTCTGCTAACAGCTGCACAATAAGACAATAAAAGTAACGTTTGCTATGGTTTGGCTTACTGCTTCCAGATCGAGTGAAGATACTACCAGAGATGGATCGATCAAGGATCCCTGATCTCAACATCCATGATGCCGCAAAAGGAAGAAGCCACACCTGCCCTGGGACCAGAGACAGCCAAGACACATATTGTGTAAAACTGCCTTCAGCCCATGAGGATAAGTGTATATAAAACATGAATTTCATGTTTACACAGGGCTCATCTCTCCAAGAGATCTAATTACATAGATGCAAATATTCCAAAGTCAGAAAAAAAACATAAATCTGAACGACTTCTGGTCCCAAATATTTTGGACAAGTGATTTTCAACATGAACTAGGTTATGGGAGTTTTGTATTTCATGCTTTTTTTCTTTTTTCCAATTTTCATGTACGATTGTATTGCTTTTAAACAAAGAAACTTTTTTTTTATACCAGAGAGAGATTGAGAGAGAGAGAGAGAGAGAAAGCAAAAAAAAAAAAAAAAAAAAAAAAAAAAGCAAGAGCTGTGCCAGTTGGGAACATGTGGAGTGGGGTCTTGAGAAGGGAGCCTGGATGCAGACGACCCACCTGATCGAATTTCTTCTGCTTCTTCTCCAAGGTGGAGACAATCTGGCGCTGGTGATCCAGGTCCACGGTCAGGTCGTCAAGCTCCTGCTGCAGGCGGTGTTTGGTCTTTTCCAGCTTGTCATAAGCCAGGGCCTTCTCTTCCAGGCGCTGGCTCAGTGCCTCCACATCTTTCAGAAGCTTCTTTTTGGCTTCTTCTAAACTCTCGATGGTGCCTAAATCGTCATCGACTTTCTTCTTGGTGTCAGCCAACTGGACAAGGAGGGGTAAGGAGAAACAAAAACATCAACATAAAGGATTTGATTACTTTTATATTTAAGGGATATAAAAACTTGGTTCCAATATTATAAACTGACACTGTATGTCTTTAAAACGAATGAGTTCAATTGTAACAATTTTTTTAGGTAATCTCTACAGTGATAACTGGACTGCAACCTTACACAGTTGTCAGGATCCTGTATTTACTGTAAAGGCCTCCATCGTTATGACTAGCACGTTGTCAGCATTTGGCTGGGTCAGAGAAAAGGATGTGTAGCAGACTTAATTTAGTACAACCTAATTAAATGCCCCAAATGGAGCCTGAAACAGTCCAGTCCATCAGGGACCTCAGCTGCCTGCAGCACCTATCTAGGGCACCTCAGCTTCCTAAAGAGGACACTTACCTGGGACTGCAGAGCTAACACTTGCTTCTCTAGGTTCTTCCTGGCCTCCTCCTCCTCCTCCTGCTGCTCTTGAAGACTATTCTTCTCCTCTTCCAGCTGCCGGATCCGGCTGCTCAGGTTCAGTTTTTGGCGTGTCTCCTCCTGAAGGAGCTCCTGTTTATTTGTTTAAAAAGTCAATACTTAAGTTACACCCAGGAGAGGGGAGAAAGGAGAACGGAAGGGGAAGTAAAATGTGTTCTGTACACGTACCAACTCCTCATAAGGAATGTAAGCATTATACATTGCAAACATGTACTAATAAAAATTTAAAAAATTTAAGTTACATTAATCACCAAAACACCTGGGCCTGATTCCCAGCACAGTGGGGAGGATAACCAAAACTGAAAAAACCTCTATTAAAAAATTCATGTCTGGGGAGGGGAGGAGGGGGTGAAGGGAGGGCAGGGGTAAGGGGAAAAAATGAGAATCAAGACTTGTCATGTAGAGGTACAAGATCCCAACAATGAATGTAACTGTATTGTATCCCTAAAATGTACCAATAAACTCAATTAAAGCTGGGAAAAAAAAATTCATGTCATCAAAAACAAAACAAGAAAAAAAAAGCCTCAGTGGATGAGAAATAATCAGTGACATAAACACAAATGACTTAAGGACACCTATGACTCCCATGATAATTCTGTAAAAGCTCTTAGCTCAGACAGGGCTTTAGGCTCCCTGGAGGATGCCAATCCCTCCCCTGCATCTGGGGTCCAGGCCACAAGACCCCGTCCCACTTCCTGTCTCTCCACCCGACCTGCATCTTCAGTCCCTTCTAGTCTTCCCTCCACTCCTCAGCCTCAAGACAGGCCATTGACATGGCCCAATAGGATTCTTGGATATTCCCTCAATTAGCTGTCCTTTCTATTTTCTGCCACCTTAATTTCTTTAAAGTGTAAGTGCAAACATATCTTTTCTGTTACTTTTATATTTGAAAAATTTCAAAGGCGTTGGGAAGGTTTCTGTGGTCTGGCTATTGGCTCTTCTTTTGGTTTTACTAGCTGCATGTATAACCTAGTTACCATGAACTTATTCTCAACGGCCTAACTACCCCATTTGCTGTTTTTCTTGATATTTTTGCCCCTTTATCCAGCATCTAGCGCCAAATCTGGCAAATGAACACTTACAAATACTTTCAAGTTTAATAAAAATAAGATGTAAAACTCCAAGAAAAATGTGCTGCATTATCTTTAATTAACTTTTGACATTTAAAAATCCCAAATAGATGATTTACTTGTTGTACCTGTATGATAAGCAAGCATCAACCCACCCTTTCACAAAATGGATTTATAACTCTTAGGTTAACAAAATGAAACTTCAACGCATTAACAGTAAAACAATCTTATTTAAGTAGCGCAATAGGACCTCAACTGGGGTAAATTTTAGTGTGTGTCGCTAGCGCCATGTGTGTCAGCTAGAGCCATGTCCCAGGCCACCTGCACACCTGCAGGACACAGAAGCATGGGTTCTGTGTCACAACACTGAGACTCCTCAGATAGCAAGGTCACGTACAACCCAACGTGGCTTCCAGTGGAAGTCTGATGTGAAATTAGTAAGAGGCGATCTTATAGAAGGCGATTCTAGAGCTAGCAGATTTCAGCAGTCTATATATAATAAAATGCTAGTTATTACTCAAGACTTCTCCTCTCTTCTCCCACCAATACCTGTGTATCCTGTAGTTGAGACTCCAGACTAGCTGCATCCTTAGCAAATTTAATACCTTTCTTCTCTGCTTCTTCCAGAAGGGTTGAGACATTATCCAGTTCATTCTGTAAGGAGTAAAATATTAAATTTCATTCAACAGTAAGTAGATAAAAAGGATTTGGAATCACAGCTCTTAAACAGAATACAAATGGAGCAGTGTCTGGAATATGTGTAAACTGAAATTGTCGAAGTCACTTAAGACTGCCATTACCAATGTGGTGTAATTGAAACATAGTGACTATTTATAAGAAATTATTACAGTTAAGACACATTGCTAGTAATTCTCAAAATACCCCGCTTGCTTCAAGCACACTCATCCTATCATTCTTGCAATTTTCTGAAGCAGTTCTGGAAGTCTTCTTTTATGGGGTAATAAGTGCCGTCCAACAGAAAGGTCGGCTTGTAAAAACATTACAAGTTACAAGTGTCCTCATCCACTGTAGTCACTGCATCTAGCACTGTGTGGTGGCTTCTGACTCTTCCCCAAAGTCAAATGATCACAAAAGGTAAATGTTTTAAATGGATTCAGGACACTGAAGCAGCCACTACAGTGCAACTAAAGACATGAAAGAGGACTTCCAGAACTGTAGTGGGAAGCGGCAGGTACAATGTTTAAGTGGGTGAGAGATGGGGGGAATGTTTTGAGGGTGGTTAATGGTGTGTTTTACTGATAAATTTTTAAAAATTTCTATAGTCATGTGTTTTTTGATCACACTGCATAGAACTGGTTGCCTCCAGTGCTCAAGGTGGTAGCAGCTGGCCCCAGGACACCTCAGGGAATCTCTTCCTACTGAAAGGACAGGGAGGGTGGCAGTGACAGGGCTTTCTCCTGACAGTGTTGGGCCACCTGGTCCTACTCTTACCATAAAGAGACAAAGATGACAGCAAATCCTTTGAAAGGGTGACAGCTGTCCTATGTGAAGAGGCTGTGAGGTCGGCAGATGTTTATTTTAATCCTTTCCACATCAAGATGCATTAAGCATATGCTTTGCAGTTAAACGTAATTCATATTCTTATAGAACTTGAAAACTTTAGGGACTCAAAGAGATTTTAATTCTAGTATTCAGTTAAAAGTTCTTTTAGCTTCTAAGAATTTGGTATTATATATTTACCATAAATTGTTACTTCTCATGCTCAGATTCCAGAAACAATGTAGTTTTTTTTCTTATTTTCTTCCTAAGAATAGCTCTAAAATATTTTCCAAAACCTTTCCCATGGTGTTAAGTGTTATATGAATTTTTTTGTGAGGACAGTGGGTACAGAAAGAAGTGGGAAGACTGGAAGGGACAGGAGCATGCCCGTTGTTCTCACCTGTGCTCTCTGGTTGTGTTAGCAGAGTTAAGTGTGTGGAGGGCACATATGTACATATAACCCAAACCAATGCCACGTCTCTTCTTACTCCTTAACAACATTCTCCAGAGAGCTCACATTAGGAGCTGGGAACAGCGTGGCAGGGCTGGGGTCGGGAGACCCCTGCCTTCAGCCCAATCTCTGCACACTGACAGCCAGTCCCTGGAGGGAGGGAGGCCTATCACTCAGGGTTGGGGTGAGGGTACAATGGAGGAACCATGTACTCACACAGGGCCCCTGGTAGGCCTATTAAGTGGCACTCACCTTGCCTCCATGCTGTATAGAGCTCCTGGCATTGCAAGATCTTCCATTTAGGAAGGTCTTTCCAGGTGTGCACGGTACACACACACATGTGCATCCTCACACGGCAGGCTGGAGACTGTTCTCTCCTCAGAGGCCTGCTTGTGCTGCTGCCTCCAGTTGGTGTCTGGGAACCTGGATTTTGAGAGACTCTCTCATTGGTGCCTGACAGGGCTTACACACAGCTGCTTTGCTCCTGGGCGACTGGAATTGTGATGTTCCTGGCAGAGCGCTTCCATGACCAGCTCCCACAACAGGCCGGGTATGGAGCTCTAATGAGCTTCCTGGATGCCAACAGCTCGCACTACCGTACAGCTGTTGCTGGAGTAGCGACTGCCCTGGTGGTGTGCACTGTCCCAGGACTGCTGCACCCAGAACCAACATGCTCCTGCTTACCTGTAGCTTATTTGCTTTCTCCGCTAGCTCCACCCTGAGCCTGTCTCCTTCTGAGACCTTGGCATGGAGCTCCTGGACCTGGGCGTCGAGCTTCTTTCTCTTGTGCTCAGACTCGGCCTTGACCTGCTGCAGCACCTTCACCTCACATGCCAGTTCCTTGTTGTCTGTCTCGAGGCCCTGCTTGTTCTTCTCCAGATTTGCTTTGAACTAGGAGAGGTTTGGGAAGAATAATTTATAAGTTATATTACAAAAAAAAAAACCTCTACAAAAAGCATTGCTTGTCTGCAGAAATGTGCCCAACACATAGTGAGTCTGCAGGCAATGTTTGTTGAATGAATGAAACCATTTGTGGTTACTTGGGTAGCAAAGTTTTTACATGAGGAATGCGCCACATACACTGCTTGGGGTGGGGCAGATATAGATTTTTAATGGGTCATGGTACAATGCACGTCTCCTTGTCCAT